GGTGCCGGTACGAGTACTGTGCTCAAGTGCAGGTACGGCACTCGTACAGTACCGGCATTGCCCAATGTGACTATTCTAGCCGAGTATCATACGGTACCAGATTCGCTAAAGGGTGCACGACGCTCTAAATTCACAGTAGCAGAGCTAACCTACTCGAGCCATGCTGCCAACGAAGAGAACCCTGCACATCTAATCTTATCATGTGAATCAGGCATGAATCTAATCAGATGTAAAGTTCAAGCCAGCGTTTCAGAAGCGGCGCCGGAGTGCCCTACCGATAGAGTAGTTGGCAAGCGTTCCCGCTTCACCAACCAAACCTCCTGTCATCTGTAAAAAGTTCTTGTTTCTTCATCTAGTTGAATTGAATCTTGGTGGATCAATCTCGCAGGAGCTATGGTTGTCCCTGCTGTTCCAGAGTTTGTTCACCCCACCCCCTCCTATTGCTCTCTTCACATCTCATCTCCTCCCTCGGCTAGAGTCTGTGCTTGAGGATATTTGAAGCTCTGTGCCTCCACGCTAACATAGTTTCTTTGAAGAATTGTCGAGTCGGAAATACATGAATCGGTGACCGCTCGTACTGAATCTCTTCCTATCCTGCGTGAATTGGGACCCCCAGATTTGGTCCATCTAACAAAATCCCAACCCAAGGTTGGCTTGAAGGAGGTAGCAGATTATTCTTTCCCGCTCATACCTGTCGTGGCCCGCCGGATTGTCTAGTTTCTGGGAGCTTATAAGTCGTATAGATTGGCACATACCATCATGTTACTGGTGTGGATGCTTCCTCATCAGCCTCCTTAGCAGCTTACATCAATACTCTCACTTATTTAATCGGTGAGAACCAGATTTGGTTTGGCAAACTGCAGTCGTGGCGTATAGCCACGGGCATATATTGGTATGCGTTCCATCCTGCCCAGTTTGAATAAACTAGCTTGCACGTCTCAGATTGTTTGTTAAGGCTGAGGTTTTAGCTGTTATAACGCCTTCTCTCGGGTCGACATGCGGGTTGAGGTTAAAATCCCTGGGTCTGTTGAAGCGTATGCGGTGGATGAACATGGAGAAAAACGGGTAGCATCGGAATTACTCTGGCTTGAAACCTATCTATGCGGAGTGCTGCGGGCGTTTAACTATGCTGATGACCAGCAAAATCGGATTGTTGGCTGTCGGAGATTTAACCCAATTACTAGTACTGAGGCGGAACACAAATTTCTGGATGCTGCAGAGCGGCTGTTCTCCAGGGGTACGTTATATCTCGCATTCTCCTTACATACAATGGCTTAATGTGGTATATACAGGCTGGCAGTTGGGTTCTGATCCTGAAATCCAGGTCCCAAACATGGTCTCTAATTACTTGACTTCTGGACTCCTCACCTACATTCACACTACCGGTCGATTTGCATCAGGGGTAAACCTTTTTGAAAAGCTTCGCTCAAGGGAACCTGAGGTTGCTTCTCTTCTAGCTCGTGTTTTGATTGACGCGGATGAAGAGGTTAAGGCTGTGTCTCTCTTATATGAAACCATTAAGCTATTGCCGTTAGATAGTGGTCTTCTTGATGTTCAAGCGGAGTTCTGCATGGGCAAAGGGCGATACGATCTCGCTTTGGAATGCGCCAAGAAGGCGGTTAACAGTGCCCCAAGTGAATTCACTACGTGGGAACGGCTTGCTCAGGTATACCTAAGGCTTGAGCACTATGAACTGGTTTGTTTGCCTAATCCGTATTTCTGGGGAGCGGGTGCTCATATTGCAACTGACTAGGCTCTCCTCACTCTCAATTCCTGCCCAATGTTCACCTACCAAGACCGCGACCACCCCAAAATGCCGCAGCCCACCAAAATGCACCTTCCTGTCCTTGTTGAGTCGGTCCTAGACGAGATGTCTGACGAGAATCATGACCCTAAACACGACAAGGTGGATGCAGCTTTGCTGAAGCTTCCGGCCGCAAGCTTGAAAGGTACTTTTGCCAAGGCCTATGAGGTCCTTACAGAAATTACCGGCCAGATTGGATGGGACATGCTCTTGAAATATAGAAGCAGTGTTTTTGTTATGGAAGAGGAGTACCGCTTTGAGAAGAGTGCAAGCATCACAGCTGTCAGAGGTGGAAGCACGAGCAAGAGTAGTGACTCTGATGCAGAGGATGAAGGGCCGGGTGATGACAAGCTAGCTATTAATGGTCATAGTGAGGAAATAGGAGCGAAGGAGAATTGTGAAAAGGGAAAAGAGGATGGTGATCAGGAAGAACATGCGGTTATTATTGAAAAACCGGAACATTCTGTTTTGCCTGAGGAGGTGAAAGGTGGGGCCGAAACCGGTCATCCAAATTCTGAAGGGAAGGTATCTGGCCAGAAATATTCTCACATCCAAAATAAACGCCTTTGTGAGCGATGGTTGGACAATCTCTTCATGGTCCTTTATGAGGTATCATCTGATCATATCACGTTTTAGGCGAAGCTAACGCCGAACTAGGATTTAAGAGTCTACACTATATGGCGATCGGACCTCGTGCGCTATGGGCAACAGAAACGTCCCTACCGTAAATCTGCTACTGAGCTTGAAATTCTTGGGGAACTAGCTCAACGGCTCCATCACCACGCTGAAGCGGAGGAGGCCTTTCAGTCGTGCCTCCAGGTCCGCTTCTCTGCAAGAGCGCTCCGTGGCGTCTTGCAAACACAGGAGAAAAACAAAGACAACAGAGGTGCTTTAAATAGCATCATTCGATTAACTGCTTGGCAATATAGGTGGTATTCGGAGGTTCGTGTCCACACCTACCTGAGACTGGGACAGATGACTGATAGCGTAGTTCTCGCCTGCGATCCTGTACTCGATACGAAAATTGATTGCCGAAGATGGAGCAGTCAAGGTTCGTAGCATAGTTCAAGCCACAAACTTCCCGCAGAGTGTTCTCGACTTGACCCATAATTATGCACAGCTCTGTGCGGCCTTCCGCAGCAGCGGTAGCGATGGCTAGAATAATTATTCAATTGTCCCGCACTTTGTTATTCCGCTAGACGGACCTCCGGATCAACGAATCTTTTTACTTCTTATTTTTGCCTATCAAGGAGACACATTGTTTGCAGGGAGCACTTCTTTCCCTTTTCTCCTTGCTTTTTTCGGAAAGTCCGCTCTTTTTAATTACACATAGTTTTCTATTCGAATAGTAGGAAGACAGAATTAAAGTTTGATTAGCTATCTTTCCATTACCCACTCAGGGAGAATATGCTATGGATTCTCTTTGTCCCAGGGGGTTTGTTGGCACTTTAATGAACACGGCGGTATTTCTGAGGGACCTTCCAACTAAATGATAAGAAATGCGAGCTATGTCGGCCATGGGGCTAGCAAATTCTCGCATGATAAGCAATGCTCCAGAGTCCTTGCATAGCTATTTCCATATTTGCCAAATTTTTGGGGGCAAGAGCACAAGTCTAGACTAGTAGAGAGAAATTGTCCCAGGGTTTGCGAAGGTTCATTTCATATCACTCGGCATCGACCTGCCTAACATGTAGTGTTCACCAGCACCTAAATTGTTCAAGGATTAGTAGTTGAATACGGCAGGTAGCCCGCGCTCGGAAGACCACTAGTAGTGGGCCTGTTAAAGGATGGGAGAGGGTGTTTTGGTGGGCAGGGTCGACGCGACGTGGTGGCCCCCAGGTATGAGCAAACCGGGTCGGGAGGTGATATGTTGGCGTTTCTTCGAGGGATTTGGAAATTTTTGCCCATTGGACGTGTTTCTCTTGCCCTCTTCATTCGTTACCTCGAGTTGCGCCCAGCTTTTAACCCCTTCTCTTTATTCTGTCAGGGATGGGGAGGGTTTTAGAAGCCCGCTGTTAGAATATTACTAGAGCCTAGAGACTACGTGGGGGAGAGGGGGAGGTTAAAGTATTCACGGTATAATATCTGATTCACCCAAGGGATTTCCTGCCAAGAGGGTATGATACCGGAAACCGGGCACCGTACGCAATCCTTGGCTGCCCCCGTTATCTGATGTATGATATGTTGACTTGGTCGGGGTAAGGTGGCGGTTCTGCACGAGACCCGCAGAGCGAAATGCTCTTCCCGCACCCCTTCCTAAGCAAGAGAGATATGTGTACCTATCCACCCGCACGACAGACCTTGATATCCTCTCGGGAGGCCCCAGACTTGACGGCATGGTTTTAAAAGTGTGGACCCTGCTGTGAGGGTAACATTTGCTGGAAGCGCTGGCAGTGCGTTCAGGGGGTGTTTAGGTTCTCTGAGATTAGGGGGTTGACTCGATTATACCATCGTATGATATCATATCATACCAGCCGGTCAACTCGAAGTTTTGTGCCATGGGACCTCGAAAGTATGATACGATAGAACTTGTTCGGTGTCTGATAGTGCGAGATTTGGGGCCGGGACTGTGGGGTGTATCATAATAAAATAATTGTGTTGGGGTGAAGTCTGAGGGTGAGATTATGTCTGCGAGTGCAAATTCACTGCGGATGATTTCTGCATCATGATAATGCTGTGGTATCATAGCCAGCTATGATTTGCTGATCTAGAAGTTATCATAAGCCCCTTTCCCCGCCTTAGTCCACACCCTAGCCATCACTACCCGCCGTTCTATTCCTGACTGAATACTTTTCGTTTGGCTATCATGGTCACTTTCCTAGCTATGCTTTACAAACTTTTTTCTTTCTTTTTTTACTAATGAAGTTTGCCGTTTTATCGTGGGATCTAGAAGTCCATATTAGTATCACATTAGACACCGGAACCCCGCCCCTTTAGGCCTAGGCTAACCTCCACCAAGTGTGTAAACTTCCGAATTTCCAAATCTCAGTGGTGGACATGAAAAAAAACAAAAATAAAATAACACAAGCTATAGATCCGGAGGAGGGGTGCCGGTTTAGCATTAACCTTTCGGTGTAGCTGGTCTAACGAGAATTTTTTTTTTTTAACATATCATATTATGTATGATATATCCATTTTCTAGGGCATCCATCATGGACTGGGAGAGAGAGGGTGTTCAGTCGTCCACAGTTATTCGTTCCGTGAAAAGGTATGGAATTCTCCACGGTACTTCCATGGTGGGGTTGATATCTAGGGGGCTCTGCGGCTACCGTATATGTTCGCTGCGATCTATTCATCTGGATGGAGTCTTTGGCCTTTTTGTATGGCCTCAATGGATGAGGGCGTGTTGGTTATCCCATGCGGGTGGTATTTTGATTAGGGCTATGATAACTAGAGTAATGTAAGGGTGCGTTGCAACAAATGGTACTCGAGTACAGTACAGTGCTGTATGGTGCTCGTACTGCTCTCACATACCGGTCAACGGTCACTTCCCGTCAATTTTCGGTGATTGGGGTTGCTGGCCGGGCTCATGGGTTGGCTTTTTACTTGTAGTAGTAAAGTATCATTGGGATGGTAAAGAATTACTGCCAAGCATCACAGTATTCTTCGAGTGAATTATATGGACTTGTTTTATCACTGGAGCTTTGTCTGTATATCGACTTGGGGGGGGGGGCACGATTGGCTTGCGAAATTGATTGCATTGGATCTGTCACTCCTATCCACCCATTGGGCATCGCGAGATTAAAATTGGCAACGAGATGACTTATTACTAATTATTCCATTCCCAAAACGGATTTTTGTGATGCAACGCAAGGCAATGGAACAAGAGTGGGTTATCAAGCTCAATCAATAAAACCGTGAAGTTATCAAAAACGCGCGCTTCTCGAGATTTATGTTTTCAGTTGGATGGGCAAAGGAAGCTTGTTCCTGTTTACCCCTTTCCTTTCCCGAAAATGTTTTTTTTCTGTGGGAAAATGACAAAATATAGTAGAGTAGAAGTACACATGGCAGATGATATCCCGAACGTCAATTGATCTTAGGGGGAGGAAAAGGTAGTGGGGAAAACTGGGTTGAATATCAATCAGTCCTTGCTTCAAGAAGCAGTTGCATAGGGAATGGGGAATCACTTATTTCTCTTCCTCAGTCTTTCGCCCCCTCCGCCTCAGTTTTTGGCTCAGCTCCAACTTCTGCCTCGGCCTCCGCTCCCTCCTTGTCGTCTTTGGGTTCTATTGTTGTTAGCCATTGAGCGCTAGGTGAAGGTGGAAGTTAAGAGGAGTGAGTAGCTTACCATCCTCCTTTTCCTCCTCTCCTTCGCCCTCCGCCTCATCCTCAGCGTCCTTCTCCAATTTGCGCCTCTTTGGTTTCGAGGCTTCAGCAGCATCTTCCTCCTCTTCTTCATCGACCTCCTCAACCTCTTCTTCCTCTTCCTCCTCTTCGGCACCGGAATCTTCAGGCTCGGAGTCTACATACCTATCCTCGCTTTTTTTTTAGCACGAGGGAAAGAAAGGGTGGGATGGAACAAAGGGGAGGGGGAATTCACTCTTCCTCCTCCTCCGATTCATCAGATGGGAGAGCTTGCAGTTCCTCCTCCTCCTCGCCTTCTCCAGCAGCGACTTCTTGCTTACGCTTTCTGGTGGACATTTTTGGTATGATATGGTGGATGAATACCGGTAGGTGGGAATAGTATGGAGACGTAGGTAGGGTTGGGGGATGGGGAAGGGGGAGTTCGTGGGCGAGGCTGAAAGAGGGCGGATGGGGATTTATTTATTTACTTTTTGATATTTGCCGGATCAGGCACGCGAGGTTGGGATTTTTTTTTTGGGGGGGGAGAAAAGGTGAACAGGAAGGATTATATCCACGGTGGAACTCTGTACTGTAGCTACCGTACCGTTCCCCCGTATTGCTTGCGGGGTCTGAGGCAATATTTCAAATGGGGAAATCCAGGCAAGGGGATGGTGGATGGTTGGTTGGTTGGGTGAGGTTCGGGGGGAAGGGGGTTGTTTCTCTGTTGTGTTCCTCCAGCAGTATTTCTGAGAACGTGTGTGACGTCTTGCGGGAAGGGTAAGCGGGTTACGCGAGTTGATGGGGTCAATTTGAAGGATTGGTTTCATTGGCCAGGGAAGGTTAATTCTCTCTGATCTCTCATCATTACGGTAGTTTCGAGATGCCGCAATGGGATGGCGCTGGGTTGGGCAGGGGCTCTATCATCCTCGTGCTTGGTGTGACATTTGTTTTCCTTTTTCCTTTTTTTTTTTCCTTCCTCTTCTCTACAAGTAACACGGGTACTCGAGTAACTTACTCCAGTATGCTGCTATTTATGCGTCTTGGTGCCGGAACAGAAAGGGTAATGCAAGCAAGCTACTGCATCATACTGTATGCAAGCAACTGTACTCGTACTGTATTGTACTCGTACTGTGCTGCACTGGCACGGCGTGCGATGGGGGAGCTCAGTGACCGAAGCAGGGTCCTTTTGCTGGTACGAGCATTAACCTACGGTACGCGAAGAGAGGAGAGGTACTGTACGAGTACGGTACTCGAGTACTTGTGGATGCTTTGCAGCATCGCGACTGTGGTGATCCGGGATTACAATACCGTAGCCGGGCTTCTCACCAGGAAAAAGAAAAAGCGAAAAAAGAAAGAAAAAAGAAAGAAGACTGGTATGCTTATCCACCCCTCCGCAAATAACCTACCGGTCCCGTACCGGTATTCTAAAATAACATGCCTCTCGCCTGATGCTGGGTCAATGCATGAAGATACTTGGGTATCATGCATAAAAACAAAAACATTTCCGTGGTACTTGTATGATACCGAGGGGAAGTGTTTCCATCCTCACCCGTGGCAGCATCCCGTTGCCCTAGCAACCAGGGCCGCTTGCATCCTCCTAACCCTTTTGGTGTTTTGTTTGCTTCGTCCCTCATCTTTAAACTCCCCGCCGATGATCGAAAACCCCCACTCACATTCCCCCCCCCCCCCCGCCTGCGAAAATCTATATAAAAATACAAATCACATCTAGCCTCCTCTACATATCATACGACTCCACAATATATTTCACTCTATCCTCCGAAAAAAAAAAGAAATAAGCAACAGCAGCGAACCGGAACGATCAGTTATGGAGAGCGCGAAACCTCCCCCGCCCACAACAGCACAGTTATTCCAAGTATTTCTCAGACTTCGCCCAACATCGCCCCAATCCTCGGTTTCGGAAACACGCTTCTTGACTGCGGTTCCGGGTCAAAATTGTGTTTACGTGACTCCTCCACAGCAGAGAAGCAGGTTTAGAGCTATCGAAAGGTTCGGATTCACCAGCATCTTCGACGAGCTCTCGGAGCAGAAGGATGTATTTGTCGAGACGGTTATGCCGCTATTGCAGCAGGCGATAAGTGGGCGGGATGGGACGCTGGCCACGTTGGGCGTCACGGGGAGTGGGAAGGTGGGCTTGCATGCACCCCTGAATAATTGAATCGGAGCTAACAGTAAGGACTTGCGCTCAAACCGCAGACACATACAATACTTGGCAGTAAAGATCAGAAGGGTATGACACAGATGGCTCTGGATGTGCTCTTCTCAAGTATAGGCGATAGAATGGTGGATTACAGCGGAGTCGATATTATCGCGAGCGATCACACGGAAGCTATATTAATGGATGCTGTTACCTTTCATGAAAGGATGAATAGCGCTTTAGTAAAGACCCCCACTGAGCGGCGCAAGCTAGGGAATTTTTTTAGCTCATAGGCTTTAGGATGGACATGCATCAAAACGCTCGTCGCTTGCCCACATTTCTACTCCAAAGGCGCCTGATGTCAGTGATTTGTCGGTAGATCTGGATAGCAAATCAAAGTATGCCGTGCTTGTATCAATGTATGAGCTATACAACGATCGTATATTCGACTTGCTCGACGATTCGGGTGCCAACAACCAAAACCGTCGCAAAGCTCTAATCTTTAAGAAGCCCTCAACGACTGCGGCTTGGGATACCTCTAAGGAATCCAAAAAGGTAGTAGCGGGGCTTCGGAAGGTTTACGCAAAAAACCTCCAAGAGGCGCTTCAAATATTAGAGCATGGACAAGCCTCTCGCAGGGCATCACCCACGCATAGTAACTCAGTAAGCTCTCGCAGTCACGCTTTCCTCCAGGTGGAAGTCAGGAGATTTTCGCCGAGAGGAAATGAGAAGGGCGGAGCGAGCTTGCACATAGTCGATCTGGCTGGATCAGAGCGTGCCCGTACTGCGAAGACTGCGGGGGAAAGGCTTGCTGAGGCGGGTTCTATCAATCGTTCGTTAATGTGCTTGGGCCAATGTTTGCAATTACAAACGCAAGTCAGTGATAATGGAAAGCCAGCCGTGGTTCCATGGCGCCAATCAAAGCTCACCGAGCTGTTATTCTCTAACTCATTCTCTGGTGCTGGGGGCGGTGGACAGAGAGCCAGTATGATAGTTACCGCGGATGCCATGGGCGACTTTAACGCTACTACACAAATACTGCGCTACTCTGCGCTGGCCAGAGAAGTGACGGTCCCCCGAGCATCTAGCCGACAGATCTCCGGAATGTCCGACTCTAGCGCCGCTTCCTCCACCCTGGAAGAACTGACAGTGATCTCAACCACCATAACCCAAGATGACAGCAAAGACGCCCTGATAGCGCGTCTAATAGCACAGCTAGAAGAGACCGAAGCCCGCTGGCGCGACGCTGAGGAGCACTGCCTGACAATCGAGCAGCAAGTGCGTGAAGAGGTAGCGGACGAGATGGAAGAACGCCTGGAAGAAGTCCGCCGTGAGACTCTGGAACACTTTGAAATGGAAGAGGAGTGGCGGGAAGGCTACGTTGATGGGAAACTGGAGATTCTGCGTAAGGGCATCGAAAGTATTATACCTACTTGAAATCTCGTGCAGACGGTGCTAACCACGTGGCCGCTCGATATTATAGTTCGCGAAGATGCACCCCCGGACGCAGCCGAGCGGATACGGGAACTCGAGAGCGAGAATGAGGCCCTGAGGAGGGAGTTGTTGGCACTTCGACGGGAGGCGCTGGGGAGGAGCCCTTCTAAGGGCCGCAGCGGCGGGAGGGGGTTCCCGAGTCCTTTGAAAGGGATGGAGAACTTGGAGATTTATTAGTTGGCCTGTGAGCATGTGCTGGAACCTGTGGCTTCATTATTGTTACGATCATATCTCCTCCTATCTTCTTTTTATTGAGCTAAGTATTCTGTAGGGTAATGTGTGGCGTCTCGGGAAGGCATAGCGTACCGGTATATAGTAGATCTTTGACAAATTAGCCTTGTCTCTGTTTTTTCTTTCCTTCCCCTTTTCTTTTTCCTTTTTCTCCTCTCTTTTTTTTCTTTTTTCATTGTTTTCAAAGTTGATACCATACAGAAAAGTATCCAACGTTTTCTGTTTCTGGAAGAAAAAAAAACAACTCGAGCGGGGTACAGTATCAGTATGGTACAGTACGAGTACAGCGGCCTGAATGGCCATACAAGTGAGTTCACCGTTGTTGCTGTTTTTGCGAAAACCGGTCTTGGCGATCATTGATGCGTTTTCAACTTGCCAATATGTTAAGGTCTTCCGGGTGCTACTTATTGGCCGAGCCTGCGGCTATGACTACCGAAGGGGGGGGGGGGGGAGGTAGTGCTATTGTGAGAGTATTTTATTTTTGGGGAGAAAAAAAAAAGGAGGCTCCGAGATCGCCATTCACCAAGTTGCTCCATTAGGAAGAACAATAAACCCTTCCTACTACTCGTAGATGTCTCGACGCCCGCCATAATGGAAGGACCTGCCACACATACACACTATGGTACACGGTATAGTACAGTGCACAGAGCATACCCCACAGCCAGCCACTGATCGATTAATACCCAACCGGAATACCCAACTCGTAGAGCCCTCAACACTGCCTGACCACAATCCGAACATGGTGAATTGTCGTACCACACATGCGGTACCGGCTTTCCTAGTGCGGGCGGGCGGACAGGCGGGTGGATAGAATATAGGGGGTATCTTTCAGTATCATATTAACGTGCGGTATCCCCGACCAATCACGTGGGTCATTTGAAGTCCGGATTGAAAGTGCTGTGCTGTGCTGTGTTATCATATCATATCAGCGCGTATACATAATAGCGTCTACAAGTATCATAATATCCGGATCCTGCGCTCTTCATATGTCAGCATTTTGTGTGCGATAGTTCTTATTACGCTCAACGTATCGTTTGTATTCTTCTATTTCCTGTTTGGAAATACCAGTGGAAAGGAGGGGGAGGGGCTGTGGTCAAGCTTAAAGCTGTGTGTGCGTGCCCTGAGAGAGCATCTACGTCCAGTATTCGATTACAAAGTCTGGGAGAAACCCGGCCCGGGCAGTGGCAATGGTGCGGAATCTTTTTGTATCGCCGATGGGTTCATGAATAAGTTTGCGATATTTTCCCCTCGTCATTTCCTTTCCTATGCGCAGTGTAGCAGTGTATGCCAGGCATGCAACGGCCGACGACTGCCCGGGCCTGGGGGTGCTGAGGAGCCTTTGATGTCCGAGATCTGCCCTGACCCACGGATTCCGTGTGCGTTTTCGAACGCTCGGCCCGGTGTGATACCCCATGTGTGATATAAGGATGAATAATAGTACATTGCGCCATAACCGTCCCCTCACTAATAAAAAAAAAAAAGGCTACCGAAGCCACAAGATCTAGAAAGCACGATGTACCCAGCAACCTTGCTCCCACACATACAAATTCATTTTCTAGGAAGAGATACCAACTAAATGCGGGGAAAGATACATGGTAATCATAATAATAATACATCAACATGAATAAATGAAGGGGGAGAGAATCCAGGGGGGAAGGAAAACTGTTCTAAACCAACATTGCTAAACCTCCGCTCAATCCTCCATCCTCACCAAGACCCCACTTCTCCCTCCAGACCTTTTGCCGCTTAATCTGCTCTCTAACAGCAATCCTCTCTTCCTCTGTTTCCAAACTGTCGATAGCGGTCTGGCTCCAGTCAGTGAAACCAAGGTGTGAGTCGAGGCCGAGGGTGATATTATTAGGAGGGGTTTCAAAGATGGTTTCGATGACAACACCTCTAGCGTTCTCTTTTGAGATGTCATCGGTAGGGAGGTGCTGCCATTTGGCGTGCGTGGGTTGAGTGCCTTCTGGGAGGAATATTAGATTGGTGTGCGGTTCGTAGACACCCTTGGAGTAAGACTGTTGGCGCTGGGTAAGAAGGCGGGAGTTGAATTGGCTATGAAGAGAGGTCAGTCGGGATCTTGGCAAATGTCACAAAGGTAAAGAGCGTAACCAGGGTGGCAACACAAACCTTGCAGCTCGTGAGTGCTCGAGCATCCAATTGGTATCTGTAACGACTACTTTCTTCTTCCGTGCCTGCTGGTTCCCCTGGGGCATGGGAACGCTCGGCTGGCCTGTGTGATACACACTGCTAGCGCCATGCCACGCGACATACTGATTTCTGTTATATTCCTCGCCTTTTTGCGGAAGCCGATCCTCAGGGTCCGCGAGCTGTCCTTCGATGGCCCCACAAGCAATTTCTCGAGCTTCCCAATAGTCATCGATAACTTTCCGGCCGCCGACCACTATCCTTGCGCCAAATTCGCGGAAAACCGAACGTGCAGTTACGACACCAATGGCGCGACCCTTATACGAATGAGGGATAAGATCCCGCTTTATCATATCAAACTTTTCATCTTCGTCCATGATAATCTTGAAAAGTTGTTTGTGCTTTTGGAAGAACAAGTATGAATCGCGGAAACCAATGCAACGCGCGGGCTCCGTGGAGAGCATGTAAAGCCGCTCTCCCCGACCAAGGATAGTAAATGTTCGGCACCTATATTCTCTGCCACCTTGCAGGTAACCAAACTTATCTACCTTCTCCTCACCAGCGGGATCCTCGGGGAGAACAATCTCGTCGTCTTCTACTTCTTGAGGATTGCCATCCTTGTCAAGTGGGACAGAGGTGACATGAGACGGGCCGCCTCGGCTGCGCATGGCCTTGGCCGAAGCTGGGGGGCGCCCCCGGCGTTTCTTGGACGAGAGGCCAAAACCGTGGGTTTGCGGGGTTGCGCCAGCGGCATTGGTAAGGGGTGTTCCTACGTCAGATGTATCCTGCCCCGCATCATCATCATGAAGAGGTGTGGATAACCGACGGGCCTCGTCAAGCGAGGCCTTGGAGGGTCGGCCACGCTTGCGCTTAACAGCTACGTGAGCCGCAGCGGGAGTGGATGGTTCGGTCCCGGTTTCATTCATCGTGGATGGAGTTCCTGAGTCACCATCATGCTGCGGGGTTTGTCTCGCTGTTCCGGGAGCGGAATCATCGGCTGGCTCGGGGGAGGGGGGTTCGATAGGTGCTAAGAGATGGAAGAGAGACGAGTTAGCGGAAAGTGAAGGTGGAGAGAAGGGATGACAAGATGGGTACTAACGAGGAGCTCGGCGTGCTCGTGGCATGATATAGGGCAAGGACGGGAGAAAGCAGAGCTGAGTAGAGGATCGTTAAGGTTATAAGCGGGATATTGAAAGAAGGCAGAGAGCGGGGTGGATGGTGAAGGTATGGAAGCGGTTGATGTCAGTTATTCCGGGAAGACGCGACTGCTGGTGAAAACAGGGGCATTGAGCATCATACTAAAGCCGGGTAACCCTCTGGAATCAACAACGCCAGATATGATAGAACCTTGGATGTTGGAACGTTTCTTCTCTACGATCCACTCGGAGAAAGGTGAAAAAGAGTTGAAAAAAGGTACTTCCTTGGAGCCAGCAGAGGGGTCTTGAGGTTGTTAACGATTTCGCAAGGGTTGTCACAGTACCGGCTCATGTGAAGTCGATGTTGATTTTTTCCCTCCTTCCCAGCCGGTGACTTCCCATGGGCGCAGACTTCCAAATTTCGAGCTTCTGGTGATCAACAACATAGTGGGCAGGACACCCTCATATGTCCAAACTCGACAGAAAGTTTCCTTATTTTGATAAACGGAGGTATTACCTGATCCCCTAGGTCTTCATAATACGAGTCTTTTGGTTTAGAGATATAACTCGGCAAGCCTACCTGCATATTTTAGGGTCAATATTCTCCTCGATTTGGGAATACCTAAACTTTCCACAACACAATTCTGCCTCTATTGGGGGCCGCTGACAAACAGAAAAGTCCATGAACGAGCACACTGGGCCAGCAGCCCACAGCATCGTCCTCCCGGGTGTTTAATGCTGTTTATCCTAGATATTTAGGCACACTTGTGATACTCAGTAGCAGGAGGAGACAGGAAGGGGTTCAAGAAGGTGCATCATATGTGTGATTCGTGGTTTCGGGGTCCCAATTTTAGTCTTTCAGGAGCCGGGATACTAACACAGTACTCTATATTGTGGTAATGGAAGGCGAAGACACCCCAACATTGGCATGAAAGACGCCTACGCATGATAGCCACTTAACATTGTGTCAAGCATCCTTGTAGGGGAGGATGTGTACGGACATAAAGGTGGTTCGTTAAGGTCCGGAAGAGGGAAGAGGAGAAAAGAAGCATAATTGAGAACACAACGCCAGGAAACAGGTCCCTCTTAACTACGATAGCACCTCAGCTTCCCTGTAGTGTTGGCTAAACGCCATAGAAAATATTCATCAATTCTCACTCAGTTACTGAAAGGCATCCCAAGAATAATTAGATAGGTTTAAATACGATGAGTGGAGCACCCCCTCTGCTCCGTCATCCAATCACCGCAAAGAGTGATTTGAGGGAGATCTCTCTTTGGAAAACGAGAAACGCCAGAAGAAAGGCAGTTTTGTATGCTTGCCAATAGCCCTATTGAAAAACAACTAGCTAGAATATAACTGAAGCCAATTCCAGCCCCTCGCCAGGCTCTATCCAGACCCGGCGACGCCTCCCGGCTTCCCCCGGAATTCCACCGCCTACCCATCCTCTCCCCCTCCCGCAGGTTAATAACGACCCAGAGTGACAACGGCGTTCGGAAGCTCGGCTGCCCCAGCTACCTCAATGGGCCACTGTATGGAATCTCAGCAACCCCGAGCATTCTACCAGCCTTTTGGCCCCAGTGTAGCTCTTTTAGGATCAAGTCTAATGTCTTATGTGACACTATAATCTCAGCTCCTCATCCGATATTCCACACCTCGATACTTCGAGCGGGGCCATGATGGAAATCTTACCACACACGTACGACAATTATTACAGGACCCTTCTCGGCGATTATCATTATGGCTGGCAACGGTCCTGTTCATGTTATAAAGGCGAACACGCTTTACTATTATATATATATAACTCTTCACCGGGTGCGAGTGACCCCACACGACACTATAAAAGCAATACATTGTTAATCGTGCAACCCGAGACGGCTCGAACTGGTGACCACGCCAGTGCCAAACAGGAATCTACATCCTGCCAACAATTGCAGAATACCTACAGTACCTACCTACCTACCTACCTACTATTGTCAGGAGCACATTGTTATCGTCCTGCTGGGTCAGATGGTTGGGACTGGTATAGGAATGCTGTGAGAGTTGGATCTCGTGAATGTCTGTTAGGCATTTATGGCGGGAATTCTGAGAATAGGAGCTAGAATGGAATGTTAGATTCTTGCAATACCGGAGGCCACGCCGGGCTAGGAAAACTTGTATTTATTGATTGCTATTGAAATTTCCCTAGGCCGAAGTGAATTGAGATGCTATAATGGTTCACATTCGGTTTTCACATGATACCAAGAACCGAATGCCCTCCGCTGCTTCACCTATCCCTAAAGTAAAGCTGAACCTCTACCCCTAATCAACACAGAGCAAAAGCGCCTACAAAGCAATCTATACTGCGGGAAAACCAAAAAAGTGTACAGGAATTTACATGTTCTGGGCCACTTCAAAATTGGCCCCCGAGCACACTTGATAGAGACTGAAAAAACCAATAAGCGACAGAGAAAGTTTGCGGGGAACGTGTAGTCACTAGGTGGATATTATTGTATTTCTCGGCGTTGAAAAGATAGTTTTGTTTCTCTGTTAGATGTTGTACAAAGTAAATTTAACTTCGCTAGGGCGATGAAGGCCTTCGGATGAAACGATACCAGGCAGCAACTTTAAATACAGCCAGCCCCTCCTAGCATGACTTGGAAGCATTGGATGAGGACATATCGAATTATGGATACATATTGGGAGAGGGTATCGTGCAGGAAAGATCGAGCGTGTTTATAAAAGTCAAGGACTTGCACCGAGTAGTCCCCGGAGCGTGAATTATTGCTGTGAACACCGGAGCCTATACAGCAAATGCGAAGAGCCATTCACTGCCCCCCATTCCAACGGACCCGTCGCAGTCTGGAGTCTGCCTTCCTACAATTCCCAGTATAGGGACGAGGGAAGTTAGAATTTTCCGCTATCATACTCCGTGGGGCATCATAATATATCACTCGGCCAATGCCATGAAATCTGGTCTTGTGATCTAACCTCGGCAGGATTATGTCGCCCACCCTCTCTTCCTCCCTTCATCCCACCATAATCCCTTCTGCTCGCAACAGTGGGGGCATTCTGGACACGCTGGGTGCAACAGGAGGAGGAAGTTAGGAAACAAACTAAGAGAGGGAAAGCAAGAAAGTGAGAAAATGAGCAGCGCACAACTAAGTAGTATCAGGGGAGGGCCCCCTTTCCCCCAAGTTCCCCACAATACCGACTGACGACGTGCGGACATATTCCGAAAACCCGGAGCGGGGCAGCACCAACATGCGTAGGCAGGAGTAAGGCAGGAAGGAGTGATAGGGTGAGTCGTTTGTGCCACCCTTTCACCGCCCCTCAAGCAAGCCCTCGATTGCGCATCTGCTTCTGTCGGATCGTGGCTTGCCTACTAAGTCGAGCGCTTCACTCAATAATTCAAATACCGTACGGGGTGGGGGGGAGAGAAAGAGAAAGCGAGCGAGCGAGCCCCAAGTGTGTATCTGGCGATCCTTTCCTCCTCAGCTGCTCCGAGCTACGATACCATACCCCGTGGTCATCCTGTTAATGACCAGCCGGCGAATGGCCTCTCACCCATGCCGGACCAGTCCCGGATATAAATATAAGTGGACGGACAGACGAGCACTCCTCATAAAGGCTGTTTTCCTTCCCACCCACCCAACCAATCAACAAACGCTATCAGGTTTAATAATTTCCATCCGAATGCTAACCACATCCGGTTGATTAGCGGAGCGGTTTTCAGCAATCACAGCTACCTTGCCTTGCCCCGCAAGCTCATGTGTCTTTTTTCTTCTTCTATTTCCTCTTTCCGAACAGGGTGGTCCTCATATCCCGTGGCCCGGACGTTTCCCTAGCCACTAGACACCTACTATACCATATCCGCCATTAAAACCCTTCCCCCCCTCCCGCCTTCCCTCCCTCTTCCAGTTGCTCCCTCCCCGCCTCCCCCCACCTCTAACGATAACCCGGGGTATCTTTTTACTCCCGATATTAGGACCTTCTACGCCTCACTTCCTTTTTTCACGTGTCATATATTCCCACCATACAGTAGTAGGTCCCTGGACAGGGACGCGCTAGGAGTTCCGGAACCGGGGTACCGGTATTTCATCCCTATCACACTACGGTGCCCTAATAAATTTATCATGCCACCGTATGCTATGCTATGCTGTGCTAACTATACCCTGCCGAAGCTCCATTCCATCGGACGAACCATGGAAGGTCGGGACAACCCACGACACCACGCTCTAGATGCTAGATACTGCACTATACTAGCCTGCGAAAGAGTCTTCTTTCTTCCTTTCTAAAATTGTCTGTCGAGTTATTATATGGTAGGTTCAGACATTTCTCCAAATGACCAAAGCCTCATAGCCCATCCCCCAGTGCACACTACTGTAGCTTACCCTACGTAGAAAATAAGGTCGGCTATCATACTGTACTCTTCTTCCCTCCACTCTCCTCCTCGTGCCCTAGACTAAATTAACTTTAGCCTACTCTCCTAGCCACTGCCAGTGCCATAGGATACCACATTTTCCGAGCGACAAGACATGACAACACCCGACCTTTGCCAATTATCACTCGCCTCAGCTAACGCCTCCACATCCAAGCCACGGGCGGAATAATTAAAATAAACACCCTCTCGTTCATTGATTCGGTCGTTTCCGTACAAATGCCACCTATGTAGCCGCTCATCCACCTACCCATCCATCCCACGCTATGCTGCCGGTATGCTATGCCATGCTACACCACCATATAAACAAGAAAGTCAAAAAAAAAAACCCCCCCTATGCAGATACAACCACAAAGATAGAATGCAACAGGCGCGCTTTAGCTCATGGGGAAATAAAAAGCGGACAAACGAAATTACCATACTAGTAGCGCAAAATTGCTCAAATTTAATTAACTTATTGATCTTTTTTTCTTCCTCTCCTCCGGAGTAAGCACTAAAGATTGAGGAGGAGAGATGAAAAGAGCGAGAAGGTGAAGGAGATAAGGGGAAGGAAGAAAAAAAAAAAGATGAAGGAAAAAGAACCCCGTGCTCCGTGATATAACAAAATTAATTATGTAAAAAAAATAAGAAAAAGCAAAAATATTTGTTGCTAATTTGAAGCAACAAAGTTCGAAGTCTCAATGCCCGCTTGTCTGCCTATGTCGCCGTGCAATCCTTTCTCTCTTCTTATCCTATTCCTCTCTTTCTGGCCTTCCTTTGCTCGAGATCGTGATAGTAACAAATAAAAGAGAAATGCTAAAACCTCATTCAAAAGGAAATTCGTTTCTTCTTCCCCCCCCCTCTCCCTGCACACTCTGTTGGGCAAAAAAACGATAGCGCGAAAAAAGGGCAAATACTAAGTAGCAGTAGCAGCCAGGAACACTATGAAGTCGCAACAGAGCATAATAAAACGAAATGGGAAACAATAACAACCCCCAAATTCGTAGGATTTGCACCAGTTAATCCTACCGATGGCCATGAAGTATACCAGATGATGCTATTTTGTCAATGCTTTAGAGAATAAAACGAAAAAAAAAGAAAGAAAAAAACTGTAGATAGAAACCCGAAACAGATACCCACATCCTCCAACTAGAAGGGAACACTCATTATATATCCATACCGTCGTTAACGAATATGCCTGCCTCATCGTCTGCTTGGCCAGTTTTGACAATTCCACTCATGCGATTGCCCCTTCCGCCAAATCCCCTCGCATCATCTTCATCGTCGTTGCTTCTCCTATTATCATATCTTTCATCCCAATCGCCATCTTCCACGTCTTCGTCCATTCGTGCCAACTCATCCCGCCCTAAGAAGTGATCATCAATGCTACTCTCATCCACAAAAGTAAAGCCTCTAAAATTGGCTTGCATCCCCGGGCTAAGGGGGGTACTTGCAGCCAGATTTCCAGAAGCCAACGCAGCGGCTCGCGCATTCAGCGACTGAGACATCGGAGCGTTGGTGAACTCCGGATCAAAGTTCGAGGTATCGGTTTCTGAGCTAAGTGTGGGTTTAAAAGGGGGTATAACATTTTTGCGTAAAAGTTCGTTCCAATTCACGTCGCTGAAAAAAGGGTGACTTTTAAGTTCCTTCGCGTCAAGTGTAGCCCCCAAACGATGTTTCGGGTTCCGGTTGAGGAGCTGGGGCAGTCATGATATCAGCCCAGGTGCACGGTAAAGGCGATAACCCCCGGTTAGTGCGTATGCTATGCTGCATCCAGGTGAATTCAAACTTACCCCTTTGACAAAGTTTCTACCCTCGAGGCTGAGAGCATCTCGCGGAAAGCGGACCTTCCCGAACGCGATGTTCTTATACATCTGTTGGGTATCCTCGGCATAGAATGGACTCCACCCGCAACACATCTCGAACACCAATACCCCGAGAGACCAGAAATCAACCATCTTGGTATACCCCATTTCGTCCAATAGAACTTCCGGGGCGAGGTACTCGGTAGTCCCACAAAACGTGTTTGTAGTAGCATTCGCAGACAAGTTCGCTTTCGAGAGCCCAAAGTCACAAAGTGCAATGTGGCCATTAGCATCAAGCAGAATGTTCTCCGGCTTCAGATCCCGGTAGACAATGTCATGGTTGTGCAGGTGTTCCAGTGCAAGAATGAGTTCGGCGATATAAAACTTGGCACGATCTTCCTTGAATCTGCCTTCCTTTTGCAAATGCCAGAAGAGCTCCCCTCCGGACATATAGTCCGTCACTAGATAGAGATCAGTGGGCGTTTGGAATGAGAACTTTAATCCAACAATGAATGGTGAATCGGTAGTCGCGGTCCTGACAAGGATGTTACGCTCGCCAAGCGTGTGTGCTACTTCTTTCTTTTGGACAATCACTTTCTTTGACAGGACTTTCATAGCATAAATCCGCCTAGTATCCTTTTTCCGGACTTGATAGACTTGGCCGAAAGTTCCTGTGTATAATGTTAGCAACCAGGTTAAGACGGACGATTCGGACCGAGGATAGCAGAAATAAAACCGACCTTTGCCGATCAGCCGCAGCACCTCAAAATCATCAGGACCATAATGCTTCTTAGAGATTCTCTCGAAGCTGATCTGCAATCGAATCTCTCCCGCAACGCTCTCATGAGGTGTTCTCGGCTGTAAAGGAAACCAGTTATCTAGGCCAGACTGCTGTTCCCTAGTGATCAAAGGGCACATCCGCACATGGCCCAAAAAGCATTCCTGGTTTGAACGATCATATATCGACACGTCAATCTCTGACTGCTCACCGAGGACATCACTGATTACAACGTCAGCAAAAATCCTTCCCACCGCTGACCCCCGTGGCAACGGCAACCGCTTTGGACGCTTTCTGGTTGGATGCGAGAAAAATAGCGAAGGTGACACAAGTTGAAGTGGGGGTCATAAGTCAACCCAAAGTGGGGAAAACACAGAAATAAAATGAAAAAGGATAAAAAATGCATGTGAAAGCGGCCAGAAGTGAAGCGGAAGTGGAAAATGGGGCAGGGGGGAAAGAGAGAAATGAATAATGCCGACATAAATTATGTAAACTCACAATACTGCTTCATGTTCCCATTTGGGATTTGTTATCCCTTTCTTTGAGCCCCCACCCTGCAATTCCGAAAGGCTTGTACTGGAGCTTTGACGGCTTTTCATAGGAATTGCGATTCCCCGCCCGGGAGCCAGGACCGCCTTCTCATTATCAGAACCATCGCCCGCGTCATCAGACTTTTTAGGACCTTTGGAAATAAATTCATTACTCTCAAATGTGCAAACAACGTATGGGTCCTTGCTCGGTCTTAAATTCCTCGCTTCGATGATTTTGACAACCATCTTTCCCTTTGGAGGAACAACTGCTGCATGAGCTGCCGCACTCACAGTACCAGAAGCGCTCGAGGCTCCACCCCCGGGACTGGCCGGCTTGGGGGACATTGGTGCAGTGTTATTGCTGGATACGGATGTCGAGTTGGGCCTAGAAGTTGAAGGGGTTGTAGCTGCAGTAGAACCGTTCAATGTGCTGCCGGTTGACGCGGTCCCTCGAGGTGTGGCCGGGGGCGTATCCTTTCCGTCCGAAAATACATCCCCTGTCAGTTTTCTGTTCTCTCTCCCCCCTAATCCCATGTCCGACAAGGTAGTAGAAAGGAAATGACATGAGTTAGACTCAAAGGAAACTGTTCTTCTGTATTGGGGCGGGAGTCTTGGCTCCAGTGGTGTAGTTTTTCGACGGAAGAAAGGCAGAAGTTGACTACAAACCTGTGAGAAACCATGCAGTATCCCAGGCAATCTCTTGTCAAGCCCGCTTGGATGGGGTGTCGTCTGGCCGCTCAAGTTCTCGTCATCATCCGACCTGTATCCAATATCCGGGCCATCAGTCCAGCTCCGCGAGTCGGGCAGAAGTGAAATTCGCAGGCCGTTTGAAGTTGCACATCTCATCTCGTGAACAAGACAAAACACAGAAGCCAGGTGAACCAAAGGAGCAATCCCGACAAAAGAAAATGGGGAGACAAATCCAGGGAATGGTTGAGATGCGACCACAAAGACGGCGCATCTCGTAGGGGGGAAAGCAGGACACCAACAGAAAGGACGAAAATTGCTTACCTCTGACCCGCTACCGCTCTAAGCATGTTAGAGGCTGAAGAGCTTACTGCAGCAGCCGTGTTCAAAGGCAATTGAGGCCTCGGAGAAGCGACAGCAGTCGAACGAGAAGTGGCAGTGGTGGTTCCGTTACCCGAACCCCCCAGGGAAGTCGAGCCAGTACACAAAACAGGCGACTGTCTACGCGAAAGTGGAGACAGGCAGCTCAACTCTGGGAGAGCGGTAACGGCAGTCGGCGAAGGTCCCGCAATCGGGGTCGCGGGCGCTGTCGATGACGATTGAGCCGGAGTGACGTGAGAGGTCAAGAGGGGTGTTCCTGGAGCAGACGAGGCTGGTGAGGTTCCCCCGCCACGGAAGAATTGAAATGCCGTGACCATGATGGTTGGTGCCTTCTTCTACTTTGAATACCCCCGGGCGGGAATGTAAAAATAGTCGGGAGTTTGATTGACTCTCACCCACTTGTCACCTTCGTCGGGCGCAAAAAGCAGCAAATGGGTGTAAGGAGGAGCGAGTGGAGAAGTGAAGAGAGGAGGGGATAGAGGTTGACGCTAAGTCTGGTTATTGTACCCTTGCTCGTAAACCGTAACCTTAGGCCTATTCCCGGTTTCTCCTCCCACGGCGCGCTCTTTAGATTATCTTCTCTGATTTTGATTTTTTCCTTTTTCCCGTTTTCCTCTTCTTTTTCTTTTTTTTTTTTTTTTTCTTTCTTGCTGTTTTTCGTCCGTTCTTTCTCGGCGTTGACCCCGTGCCGAAGAGTTGTGATGATGATCGATCTGGTTCCGATATCCTTCCAAGGTGCCAGCCGACAGATTCAAAGATGTTGATTCCAGCCTCCTGCCCTGTCGAGGAAAATAGTGGAGGGACTCGTCCTATTTCTCCTCTCTCCCTCCTTTATTTCTCTTGCAGCTCGGCTCCCTGAAATTCCCTGCTTTTGGGTGCTGGACTGGGCTTCCCTCTCAACTATATCCTGCAACGCTCGGTGGGACCAATGGTGGACAGAGGCTAAATCAGCCCCGAGGAAATTTCGCTGGGTGGGCAAGCGGACAGAATGATTGCTGTTCACGCAGGCAGAATTTCCAGGCACAGAGAAGAATGTTGTTGCGCTGCACACTCTGTGAGCACCGATGCTGTTACCTGAGCCGGTCGCCTACTCGTGGCTTGGATGTGTGTTCCCGGGGCAGGCCCAGAACGTGGGCTGGGTTCACTCCTGCAATTTTCCTCAAGATTTGGAGACTATTTAAAATGGAAATCTTCTACTTTTTTATACTACCGGTATTTCTCTTCCCGCTCACTTGACAAAACTGTTCCAGGCCTCCCGGGGAGAGACGACGATGGGAGACGTAGAATAGTAAGTAAGGGGCACGCACGCTCCAGCTCAACTCGCTCTCATAGAAGTCGCAGCTAGTCTACCAGATATGGATGGTAGCAGGGTATGCAGGTTCGGTGATGAGGGAAAGGACGAGTGGAAGAGCAAGAAAGGCAATAAAAAAAGAAAGGGGGGGGGGGGGGATTGAGCGAGTACGGTGATTGCAGCTTGCGGTGGGATATCGGGGGTGGGAGTTTGCAGATGGACGAGAATGGAAGGGAATTTAGGGAGGGATGAGGGGTGGGATAGGAAGGATAGAAAAGGCAGAGAGCCTGGAGGGGGAAGGCAGAGAGCGGCGAGAATACTTAGGGTACAGTACATGTACAGTAATGTCCAATAGACGATAGGGTGGAAGGGAAAAATGTGTGGCGCCGTAGCTGGGGCATCCATGGCCCCATTTACGAAGGAACAAAACTGTCCGCAAGGAGGGGCAGAAGGCGAATTGCGGCAACAAGTTGCCGATGAAGAGGGGCAGGCAACAATAGGGTACGAGGGGCGGACTCAGCAGCGGCAGCAGGCAATGGCGTGGCGGCCTTGCGGGAAGTAGCACCAGCTTGCGGGAAGTAGCACCAGCTCAGTGTGGGCACTGCGCTCGTACAGTACAAGTGGATGTATCATAATCAACCAATTACACAGACCAGTAATTAGTAGCCATATAATGCCGAGCGGCACGGAACCCCGAAGCAGGCGGACGAGCAGCAGCAGCAGTTTTCAGCGGCAGCCAGAGAAGCGACAGGAATTAGAAGAGATGGGCATGATGGATCAAGATGAGGGAAGATGGTTAGACACAGCTATCGGCGGCGGCTGAGGAATGACATCGTTAGAGCTACTCGGGTACGGTACAGTACAGTACATGGCTCGGTGATTTGGGGGAAAATGGTGCTGTAGCTGATATAGGTAAAGAAAGTCTACTAGGTAGGTGTCACTCTACACATTTCGAAGTCCGAGGGAAGCGGGTATCTTCATATCCCACTACCGGTAATAAGTTGGGATTATCGGACTACCACAACCGGCAGGAAACACCACCGTGAAGCACACTCACTCACTCACTCAGGGAGGGAGAGAAAGTGAGGGGGAGAGGGTGAGGAGCGCAAGTCATCCATGGTAAATCCGAACGAGTCTAAACTCAGCTTTAGAGCGACCTCCTCTTCTGATTGCTGGACGACGAAAAATGAAGGATAAGAAAAAAGCCCTTCCCCTCCCCCATCCCGTCAGTGGGCAGCAGGGTACAAGTACCGGTAATGGCAAAACGGTTTTATCAACCAAACATTTTTATTTTTATTTTTACTCCGGGCTGGTGTGCCCCCCTCATTCACCGAGTGGGTGCCAATTCTCCGTGATCCCCCCCAACAGGAATTGCGGAGGGAGAACGAGCCTTCTCGCTTGCGAAGCCATTTCAACCCGATCCTTCGTCCAAAGCGCTCTCACACCTTCGCCACGATAGCTGATGTTGGGAGGAGACTGGTCAACACGAAGAACATGTGATCCTTTGTCTCGAAAGGTGTTGACGAGTAGCGAGTGACCGATTCACAGGTGAGCAAATACGAATCACCGGGACCTCCATAGTACCGCC